AAGGGAGAACAAGAGGGTCATTTCTGGCATTTTAGTCGTCATCAGCTAGTCAAACGCAACCCTATCCCTCCGCAGAAGACGCCCCCGAATTTTGAAACCACGGCCTTGTTAGGTAGAAGTCAAACGCTCTTACTCATGTGCCACGGGTTCGTTGCCTGGCCATTTTCGATCGGGAATACACACAGTGATATATAGTGGCTCAGCGATCGCGGTCTATGAGTGGGCCTACATAAGCTACTTTTGCCCAGCGTTCATTCTGTCGATGTCAAAACAGCGTTTCGAATACTTGTTCGTGCCCGATCAACTCGAACCCTGCGCTGTTCGGGGACTGTCTACATACGGCAGCAGGAACCCGACCTACGTAAGCAGTCTGACCATGTTGTCAACCTCCAATTACACTGGCGATTGGTCTTTTAGTTTTAATCCCAAAGTTATTTTCTTTAATTTTCCTCAACCCTCTCCTTCCTTCCTATAAGTTGCTTGAACACAGTATCCCTTACCTGACCATTCTGTTAACGAAAATATGATCCTTGCGGTCATGCCCTTCGTTCTGTGAGATTGCAAACCGTTGTATGCTCTGTTCGTTACCGTCCTCATGCAGCGACAAGATGCAGTTGAGAAGCTGCTACCAAATTAATTAACGTCAATAAATCCTGCCGTATACGCCTGTTTTAAATTTTTACCGGAGAAAAAAATGCTGCAAGTTATTGCGATTATCTCCGATGATGATTTCAAGCCAGAATCCGAAACTCCAGGCAAACAAAATTCTTGTTCTAGCGATCACATTCGTTACTTCAGAGTTGTGAACCTTGTTATGCTCATACTGTCGATTGCACGAGCATGCATTACGCTCTCCGAAAGATTACACTTACATACGCTCATTTATCACGAAGTTTCGCAGCTTCAGCACTTACGCATTTCCTTAAAAAATAATGCTATTTCGAACCACCACCACATAATACAACTGTCAGAACTTCTCTTCCGTTTTCACTTAGATACCCGCTTGCTCATATCTAGTTGGACTGATAGAACTACGATATGTTGCAGCGAAAATGCGGATTTTCCGCGATAAGCTAGCATCTACGAGGATCACATGATGCCTCATTACGGCACGGCAGCACAGGAAGTCGTCACATACACAGACAAAGACGGACCCAAAGCTTTGTGTATGAATTAATGAGCCAATACCAGGAAACTTCACATAACGTCAACATAGGCAAAGCAAAACGAACAAATATGGATGGACATCACAAGACATCGGATATTTAAAAAACACAACTGTTTGAGAGCGATAAAAATCAGCCTTGACGCGGATGTGGAGTAGATTCAAAGAATAAAATGAAGGCAATGAAAGTGGCCTAACATAACATCGTAGGGTATCCCGTTTAAAAGAGCCACGAGGTAGGGATTTCCACTCGGTAAGGACGATGAGTCTTCGTTCGTGAAGTGATAGGGAGGATGAAGGTGTAGGGTGGAAGAGCGACGTCGGACGATGGTGCAGTTAGGGTAGAGCTGGGTCCTGGCTGTCTTCCGGACTTTCTTCGCGTGCACGAAAAGAGCCAGCAAGAGGACGCTGAATCGACGGCGTCGATTGGTCAACGCGGACAAGGTCCTCACTACCCGGACGAAACTCGCAACCTTCATCCACCAGTAGAGCAACAGCATTTACGTAATAGTTGAACTCATGGGCGTACACGGCATAGGCCTGGTGGCCAGCACCCTCCATAACCTGTTGAAGTATTGTAAAAAATTATGTCTACTTTGGAATTGATAGTAGTATCTTTTAACGACTACAGAGGTCGGA